AATCCGAATGGCATGACAATATAGCAAAACACACCATCCGAAGTAACGAACGCTGTTTTCTCTGCATCATCTGGGTGCATGAAAATGTGATGATATCCCCGGAATGCATCCATGAAGCTCAACAATTCACATCCGGCCGTTTCATCTACTAACAGATCGATCCTCGGCACCGGATAAGGGTCCATGGGACAAGCTTTATTCAGATCCGAGTGATCCACGCACATCCTCCAAGTCGATTGTTTTGGAGCTAGGACCACATTGGATAGCCATTCGACATGGATTACCGGACGGATGTGTTTTATTCTCAGCAAGGTGGCCACTTCCTTCTTTGTGACATCCCGCCGTTCGGTTGCTTGGTATCGTTTCTTTTGCTGGACTGGTTTTGCATCAGGCCGAACGGCAAGCTTGTGACAGATTATCTCTGGGTCAATGCCCAACATATCTTCCGGTCCTCGGGTGAATAACACCTGAAACGTTTTTAGGATGGCAATCACGCCATCCCGAATGTCAGCCTCCAGATCCACCCCGATAACTACCTTTCGGTTCGGGGGGAGTCCAAGTCAATTTGCTCGAGGAGAGTGGCAGGTTCTGGATGCGCCTCGAACTCCGTTCGGTGGGTCTCCACCTCAATACTGTTAACCCGCATTCCACGGGTGTTCATCTGCTTTAGGGCCTCTCGGTAGCGTGTTCGGGCTGTAGCCGGATCAGTTCTGGCCACCCCAACCCCAGTGTCCGTGGGGAATTTGATGCACGAGTGGCGGACAGAGGCTATTGCCTCCAGATCTTCCAATCCCGGTCGGCCCAAAATGGCATTATGGGCACATTTTATATCCACCACCACGAACGTCATTCGGAGTGATGCCTTGTGCGTTTCGTCCCCAATTTCAACTAACAATTGAATGGTCCCCTCAGCCTCAATACAGTTACCGGTGAAGCTTGCCAGTGGGGTTCTTAGGTGGGTCAGTTGACTTCTCTGTAGGCCCATTTTCTCGAACGATTGTAAATACAATACATTCACACTGCTCCTCGTATCGATCAGCACCCGGCGAATCAAAGCATTGTCAATGAACATGCTCACCACCAATTCATCCCTGTGCGGGCTTGGCGAGTTAGGTAAATCAGCCGGCCCAAACGTGATTGGGTCCGTCCTTCCTTTCTTCTGGGGAGGAGTGGAGATGGATCCTATATAAAGACTTCACTCGAACCTTTTCCGTTCAGCGTTCGAATCCCCTGTTTCCCCGCCCCAAATATGACTTTGACCTCCATTCGAGGTTTCTTTCCGGGGCCTCCCGAGCCCTCTGGTTCATCCCTGGGAGGAATATATACGTCATTCTGGGGCTGGGCATCTCGTTGGGCATCCCGTCGCCAGCTGTTGGGTTTCCTGATCGGTTTTAAAGTGCCTACCGCACTTGGGTCTTTACTTACGTACTTGCCCAGATGACCCCGCCGGATCAAGTCCTCAATAGCCGTTTGTAGTGCCCTACAAGCGTTGGTGGCATGACCTTTCTTGTTATGATATTTACAAAAAGCAGACTCATCTGCTCCCATATAATTTGAAGAATCAGTCGGAAGGGGAATGTTGTCCTTCTCGTTCTGATAAATGGTTGCCACGGACAGGACCAGGGGAGTAAATCGCCCTTGCTTAGGAGGGAGAGCGGCCGCTGGGGTAGGACCCAGCCGATCGGCCATCTTGATTGGGGCAGAAGGCGCAACGACCTTGTCCCTGATCATAATCTTTTCTTCCAGGGCAGCATGCTTGCGGGCTCTGTCTAATACCTCGGCATACGCCGTACCTGGATACTTCTTCAAATCCTTGTATAATTCTCCCGTTCAGAGAGCGTTAGTGAATAGGGTGATGTCGGTATCATCCGTCATATTTCCGACCGTCAGAGTTTCGTCCCTCCATCTTTTCAAGAATTGATTGAGGGTTTTCTTGGAGTTCTGCTTCACGCTAGTCAGATAGCTGAAATGCCGTTTTGGGTTGGCACTGGAGGCAAATTGGGCCAAGAACAACGTTGATAGTTCGGCAAAACTGTTGATCGACCCAGGTTGCAGGGTCCCGAACCATTCTTGAGCGGGTCCTCTGAGCGTACTGAAGAACAATCAGCAGATGGCAGCCTCGGACGCCCCTAGTAGCATGAGTCCTCCTTGATAACTCCTTAAATGGACATGAGGATCGCCCACCCCATCATAAATCTGACCGGTCGGTGGTTTGCCACCTCCCTGGATATCCGCATACATGATTTCCCTGGTGAAAGGGGAAGTGATCCCGAGCTGGATCGGAATAGGTTGTACGGGCGCCCTATTCATCTGATCTCAAATCCGTATACTCCCGATCCCAGTGCCTCTGAGTGGCCCTAGTATAATTCCGTTCGTCATGTTGGAAATGACGGCCAATAGGAGTAGGTCCCCTGGCTTGTGACCCGATCGGGGTCCGGTTACTGGGAATATGATGCGTTGTTGTTGGAGCGCCACGACGATTATCCCGATGGGCCCGTGAGTGGGATGACGCCATGGTCGTTTCTGTGTGGGGAGTTTCCCCTGTAAAATTGGATCCTCCTTCTTCCTCGTTTGCCATATGCTGCATGACCTGGGCCATATCTCGCATGGCCTGAGGATTCCTCCTTAGGGCTTCAGGAATTACAAAGTCCCCATCATAATGAGGATATGATCCTCGACTGGATTGTCCCTGAGGGGTTTGATTTCTCGGAGTGTGACTTCTTCCGTGACGGTGCGAACCATCATTTGTGTGATAAGAACTGATTCTGACCATTTTCAAAAATAGTTGTTTTGGATAATTGAATGTGAAACTTTTTGAACAGATTCCCACAGACGACGCCAATGTTGAGGTTAAGTCCCGTTGATCCGAAAGCCCAACACGAACTTTGGATATATCAGGAAAAGATCAGAATCAAAGTGTATAACAAAATATAAAAGATGAATCAATTAATACCCAAAAGCCCACTTGTATTAATTAACATGTCTGATTACAAGGAAACTTCCCGATCGGTAGGTCGGAGCAGTGCTTTTAATACAAGAAACAAGAGTAATAATGCTATTCTAGAGCTTGAGTATCAAAATACTAACCCTTACAATGATATTAAACCTTCTATTTATACTAATGGAGAGCATGGACTGCTCTATGCTGATTGGCTGTTGTTTCACCGACTTGATCACCCATGTTTCCACTTGCTGATGTCACCATCTGGCATTAATTGCACCTGACCACTTGCTGGTTGTCCGTTGCTGAAACGGGATGCTGGACCATGCGGAAGACGCTGTCAAATTGACCCAAGTATGATATATGACCCGAACCCCATTCGGTATGTCTGCTTTCTGGGTCGGCCTCTACTTGGACCGAACCCCGTTCGGTATGGATTCTTCACTGGGCCTACTCATCATAGGGTAATGGACTCGTTGTTTGGGCCGGGTATCCTGGGCCTTTTTAATCCGGGTATTGGGCCTCCGGGTCAATATCCCAACAATATATATATATATATATATATATATATATATATATATATATATATATATATATATATATATATATATTATGTAACTATGTATGTTGTATTTCAGAATACTATCACGTTTCCTTATAAATCCTAGTTGTGTTATGTATGTAGAGCATCATGTAATTAAGTTATGTACACTTCTCTCGTAATATTGTGATGTTTTTATTGAGGTGGACACTGATCAGACTATATTTAAACAAATCATGTAATGTTAGACTTAAAGATATTACAATGGATCGGATTTTGACAATCTTTGTATTTTTATACCATAGCAAAGTTAATATAAGTTTTTGAAACAAAATTATAGCAAAAAGGATTAAAGTTGTAATATTTTTAGCCTCGAAATATACATTGATGCAGTCATACTAGTACAATCTTTGTAAGTTTTTTTTTATAACCCGGTGGCAGATCTTTGTAAATTTGTATGTGCCTTAGAAAATCTTTACAGCAATAGAACATATATTTCTCACATATCTTCCCTAAATTAATTATATGTGTGTGATGAATAAACTAACCAACTTTAGAACCTAACACGCGCATAAGCCTAGGCAAGCATTTATTACTTTCCTTTTGTTTTCAATTACACACTATATGGTAACAAACATTTATTACTATACATTTTTTAATTAATTAATATCTTAATACCAATGCATTTTTAAATCACACCGGTCATCCAATTTTGACTCCGGAATTCCATGTCAAAGTATAATTAAGTTACAAGGTAATACATGCAATTTAGTAAAAAAACTATCTTTTATGTATTAAAAATAGTTGTGATAAAATAATAATAATAAAAGTATTATTTTGGCACATAAGGTTTCCTTTCCGTTGTTTTATTTATAGTTTGCGCAATCATATAATTTTTTAAAGTTGTAATATACTTTTGATCCATTATTCGTGCTCAAAGTGGATTTATGATTTATCTATTGTAACTAGACGATAAACCCGTGCATTGCACGGGAAATCTAGGGACCTTTTGCACGGTTTATCAAACTTACCGACCATTTTAGTTTTTTCTCATACTTCATATAATTTTTTCTAATACAGAGAAAGTATAAGTTTTTTAGATAACAAAAACGAAAGAAAAGTTAGCAAAGTTTCATGAGACATAATGAGTATAAGTTTTACAATTTTCAATTTATGAACCTCACTTTTCTAATTTGATGTTACTAACCGTCACTAAGAAGTTGTTCTGTTCGTCATATTCTTATTGCTTAGTTGCTTATTCATTATTCTTAATTTATTGAGACTGGATTAAATATAAAAAATCAGATCAGATCATAAAGATTCAAACGTATAGTTATAGTTAGGGAAAATGTATAATTATAGTTATAATTGTATTTAGAATTATAATTATAATTACAACTATAATCGCAATTTATAGTTGTAGTTATTATAATTACACTTATAATTATAGCTATTATTACAATATGACTATAACTATAATTATAATTCAAACAATGACACTAATATTATTCCCTAAGTTTTTAATTCAAAAAATATGACCACTTTAATTTCCCCTAAAAACTGACCCGCATCCCAGGTCTTCTCCATCGCGTGAGAAGAGACCAAGTCGCCCAGATATACGCATCCCGGGTCTTCTTCCCTCTCCAGACCGACGCATCCACCAGAGCTTCGTCAAAGATGACATAGCTCGCCGGCTCCACCAGCAGATGCCGCTCGTCTCAATTTCGATTCTCTTCTTCGCCTTTCTTCTTCGTCGATGAACGAATCTCGCTGTGAATGGAGGGCGAACGCGGCAAGGGTTTCGGTTCTTCTCTTCTTCTTCATCTCTTCTATCGCCTCCCGTTCGAAATCAATTGACCGATGCCGGTTCCGGATCCGCCAACGTCGATGGACGACGAATCGGATCTGCCGGATCCACCGCCCTCGAAGTCAGAGAGGGGCCTGAACAGCCGGACCGCCTCTTCCTCTGCCGCTTGGCCGTCACTGCGTGGTTTCAGATCTGGGTGAGTGTGGTGGGCAGCTATGGAGGTGGGCTGGCCTGATAGAGAAGAGTCTGTGTGGCTGTCCGCTGGGGCTGGGGGCTGTGGAAAAGGGGCTGGTGAGGCAGAGGGCTGGGGTGACGCAGTGGAGGGGGTTGGGTTAGGCAGGGGCTGGGGTGACATAGGGGAGGAGGTTGGGGTGAGGCAGGGGCTTGGGTGTGGTGGTTGCAGTCGTTAGCCGGAGTCGGTGGCTGCTGGAGGCGGTGTCCAGCGGAGGTAATGGGAGTCACTTTGCACGGCTGAGTTCATTATCACTATCCGTGTTGCCATGTTTTTTATTATTCCAGTCAAAGCCACGAGACATGTGTCACAAAGGTGAGTTTCACTGACTACGGTTGGTCACTAGGGGCGTCAGGGTTTACTATGGATTTGAGCGGTAGAGTCATTCGGGTTTTAGGGTGGCAGTGTCACTAGCTGGGCAGACACTAACAGAGGTGTCACACAGTCGATGGTGTTTCTAAGTGGGGTGTCGTTGGGTGGCGGCGGCCAGTGATTGTGACTCCCGGCCTCGCAGGGTCAACATTGTTACTCTTCCAATGTCTTTATAGGAACTCTCAAGAACTCTGGTACATCTTTATAAACCAATACAAACATTTTATCACACACTTTGTCCTCACTTTAATACTTTCAAGAACTCTGAGACAATTCCAAGTTGCTTCCATGCAAGCAAGCTTACTTATGATGAACTCTCTTAAAAGAAGATACACATTATTGATATGAGTAGTACTATTGATCATTTTAAACTAATCTCAAGTATTACAATCATCCCCATTTAAGAACGCAACGTTCTCGTTGCGCTCATAAATCCATCTCAATCAAACCCTAGAATCTTCTATTGCTAAGTGCCCGTTTGATTCCACCAGATCCACACTTAACTTGGCGTTCTTAACATATGAGCTCCCTTAAAAGGAGATACACATAGCCAGGCCCGGTCCTGACAAATGAGAGGCCCTGTTCAAAAGAAAAATCGGAGGCCCTAATATTTAATACAAAAAATACTAATAATAAAATAAAAAAGTAATATCATATTTTATAATTATACTACATACTAAAATGCAATTCTTCTTTGACTAATACACCAAGAACATCAAAATCACATCCAATATTTTGAAATTAAACTACATTTATTTAAATAATGATATCCTTCTAAGATTCTTTGAAATAAAGTCATCGATAAGGTCTTCATATGCAATCTTCTCCAATATGTCGCTCTCAATTGCAACTAAAGCCAATCCATTAAGTCTTTCTTGTGTCATTGTTGACCGCATGTAAGTCTTTAACGCCTTCAATTTTGAAAAGCTTCGCTCTGCAGTTGCAACAGTAATGAGAATAGTCAACAAAACTCTATATGCAATAACCGCATTAGGAAAGCAATCAAGACGTTTTAAAAATTTCAAGATATCAACATGCCTCATATTCTCCATTGGCAAAAAGTCTTTAAGTAACTTTAATTCTACATATAATTGTTCATCCTTTTTAAGTGATGCTTCAAGACAACTACAACAAGATTTCAAATTGTTATCATCTAATAAACGCAACCTTTCGGAGGTAAATAAAAACCCAAAAATATTCTCATATTGTTGATATTATTCAAATCTTGTGGTAAGTGATGTTATTGCTTGATCAACAATGCATAAGAAATAATTAACTCTAAACGACTCTTGTGCAGATTGGGAAACACTAGAACACTCATCATCTGCATTCTCATCAAATTGCCTTTTTCTTCGAATTTGCCGCTTTTGAGGAAATACCGCGGCAATGTTTAATTCAATACAAATGTTCGATGCAATTTCTAAGGCACTTGAGAAACCAGTTTCTCTATAGTTTTCAAAATAAGAAATCAACCCCTTTAATTTTTCAATAGCAACATCAAGAAGCATGTCAATTTTTTGCAAATCCTTGCTAACTAAATTAACAGCATATAAAATTTCATACCAAATAACTACTGCCACAATGAATTCAAAATTACCAAGATCATTTTCTGCTAAAGATTTTGCTTCGCTCCTAATTTTGGAATCATTATCTTATAGCTTTAACACTATCAACACGACTCTCCCAACGAGTAGATGACAATGATTTAAGAGTTAATCCCTTTACATTTTCTTTCAAAATTTGCCATCTTTTAGTGGAATTTGCAAAAATTGTATACATACGTTGAATAACTCCAAAAAAATCCTTAGCTTTACCACAAGTATTAGCCATGTCACATAAAGTCAAATTAAGGCTATGACAACCACAAGGAGTATAAAAAGCTCTAGGATTTAAATCCAACAATTTTTTTTGCACTCCTTGATGTTTTCCTTTCATATTAGACCCATTATCGTATCACTGTCCTCTTACGTTATCAAGCTCAAGATCAAGAGAGACCAATTCATTTTGCATAACATCAAAAAGGCCTTGACCAGTCGTATCATTAACATTCAAAAACCCTAAAAATGATTCCTCAATGCAAACTGAGTTTGACGAGACATCCACATATCTCAATATTAAAGACATTTGTTCTTGATGACTTATATCAGGGGTACAATCAAGTATCACAGAAAAGTATTTTGCTTGTTTGATTTTTTCAATAATTACAGATTTAATTTGAGAACCAAGCAAGAGTATTAACTCGTTTTGGATCCTATGCCCTAGATAATAATAATGAATTTCATCATTTTTAATACGTTGAACATGTTCTTGAACAATAGGGTCAAACTTTGCCAACATCTCAATTAAGCCCAAAAAATTTCCATTACTGTTTTGATACAACTTCTCATTCGTACCACGAAATGCAAGATTATGTTTAGCAAGAAATTTCACCACCGAAACAATTCTCAACAACATCTTTCTCCAATGCTCTTTTTCTTTTTCGAAAAGTTTTTGAGAAGTTTTATCGATCGTTTGATTTTTCTGCAATCTTAAACGCAAATCATACCATGTAGTCATAATTTTAAATATTTTACAGCAAAAACAAAAAACTTTATCAATTTCCTTTGAATAAACTAGCCATTCTCTATCACACTTCTCTCTATTTGGTAAAATTCTAGTGTAAAATGCAGATGAAAACCTTCTTGATGATTGATCTTTAGGACCCTTAGTGATAGATAAATCTCTAATTGGACCCTTTTCAACTAAATTATTAATCATGTTACAGTTAAGAACATCCCAATTTCTTGGATGAAATATATCAATACTTTCAAAAACATCATTAGCAACAACATTATCATCAAATTCACAACTAGAATTAACAATGCCATCAACATTATCATTAGCAGTTGCACCAAGATCATCATCAACAACATTAACAGTTGCACCAACACAATCATCAACATCAACATCATTATCAGTTGCACCAACAATATCATCAACATCAACACCACCGTTAGCACAAGTATTTTCATTCGCAAAAACACTTTGTGGTTCTCTTGTAACAAATTTTTCTAAAGCTCTTTTTTGAGATAAAATAAACTCATTTGTTTTTTTTTTCTTCATTCGTTTTTCATATCCGGATTCATATTTTCTAACTCTTGGAGCCATTTTCAAATATCAATTTATTAAATTCTAATTTATAAATTATAAGATGTAGATGAATCCAAAATTCCAAATTAACAATTACAAAGTATAAACTAGGAAATGTGAATGGGATTATGGGAACAAAAACACCTGAAGATTGAATTGAAGTCCTGAAACAGTCCAAACAGATTGTGTGCCAAACTGCCAAAGTGCCAATGCCCACCGCAGCACCGCCCCACCCTCGACTCGGCCTCAAGTCCTCACTCGGCTGCTTTCATCTGCGAGTATGCGCAGGTTCTGGGTTTCGCAGATGGCTTCCGTCCATTAGTCTGCTAGGCGATTTGCTCAACTTGAGAAGAATAGAAGGTATTTAAGATTAAAATCTAACGGTAAAAACAATAAATTGATTAAATTTCATACCTCTCCGACGTTTTAGTAGTTTCGCCGCTTCGATTTCTCTCAATCGCAGATTCCCAGTCTTCTTGGTCTTCGTAGTTCGTCCGTTCGTCGCTTCGATTTAGGCATTTAGCCATTCCGCGGTACGTCGTTACTCGTTAGGGAAGTAAAGAGGCGGACGACTTTTTTTTGTTTTTATTGGATCAGGCCTTTTTTCGAATTATTAGTTATTACTCTTTACTAATGGGCCTAGCCTAGGTATACTACTACACTTAAAAAAATTGGGGGCCCTCCAAAATTGGAGGCCTTGTGCAGCTGCTCCAGTTGCACCTGGGCTGGGCCGGGCCTGCACATAGCTTGTTGGTAAAAGTAGTACTATTAATTCTTTTGAGCTAATCTCATGTACTACAATGATGGTGGGTGTCACCGTAACACCAATGGATGGGTAATACAATCAGAAGGAGAAGTGAAATTTAAACAACCACGTGATATAGAAAGTGAAACCCGTGCCAACTTGTGAGCTATTCCATTCACAGACATATTATAGTGAATGACGTCTATACTAACTTCATTCTCAAGATTATATCTAATGTCTTATATAATTGTGTCAAAATAGGACTCACCCTCCCCATCCTTTAAGCTTGTAAGAATCAAGAGATAGCCTGTCTCCAACTTTACATTTGTCCAGCCCTATTGTTTGACCAACGACACTGTTTCTCGTACCCTTTGGCCTTCGATATCCGAGTCCAAGCCTAGTCTGTTGTTGCTGCTTGACATCCTCCCTGAAGGAAGTTTTCGTGCTCGTCTCTTGCTACCCAAGACCAAGCTCACTTGACCTGTTCGGAGTCCAATTTCGCATGCCCGAAGACCAAGCTTCTTCCAACTGACACTCAACATCCATGTTCTTCCAAACCTTTTCATTTAGAGACTTCTAGAGACTCCATGTCATAGAAAAAATTGAACCCATATCCCGAACCATTTCTAACAAATCTAGTCCCAAGCTTATGTTGGGCAACAATTATTACCTTTTTTTGTTTAAATACATGTTATACTCCGTATCTCATCGAGGGTATGATTAAAAGTAATTGCTCTTAATAGGAGTAAAATATAGCACTTTAATCTAAATATTTCCCTAAATAAGATTAAACATTACATTTCTACTCCTAATCTAAATACTTAATACTCCATCTGTTCCATAAAGAAGTTTCCATTTCGGTTTACGATGTTTGACTGCCGATAGAGCAATTCGATCCCTGTTCACACTGGGATTAATTTTAGTAAATAAAATTTACTTATTCAGAAACTACAATAAAAAATTTACAAAGTTGATCAAGAAAAATTAAATTTGATAAAAATCTACTACCTCCGTCCCTTAAAACTTTGCCAAAGTTGACCGACACGGAGTATAATAAAGTAAAAACTATGTGGTTGAGGTTTGTGCAAAGGAGAGAAATAACAGAAACCACAAAATAATTGATTAAAAGGGAAAGTGGCAAAGTTTTTTGGGACGTCCCAAAAAGGAAAGATGACAAAGTTTTAAGGGACGAAAGGAGTAATATATAAAACAAAAGATTAAGAGTGCTTTAAGTTAAACAAGTGAATAATGAATTAGAACTTCATTTTGGGACTGAGATAGTATAATTAATTCCCCCCAGTCCCCTTGGATAACCGGGTCAGTCCAGTGACGGTGGAGGCGGCAGCAAACTGGTGGAAGACGAATTCCGATAATTGGCGGCAACAACGATCGCAGATCAACCGGCAGCAACTTCTGCATCAAGTCTTCCATGTTATTCTTGTCCAAGCTTAAACAATACTCCTATTTTGAGAAATTTAAAAATCTATTCATATTTTTACACTTTCTTCACGTTTTACTCATATTTCGGGAGAATTTTAAAAAATGATATGTTTCGTTTGTATTCATTTAATACTCCCTCTGTTTCACGGGACCTTGTCATCTTTTTTTTTATTTGTCCCAAAAACTTTGTACTATTCTAATTTCATCTATTCCTCCATGCATTTCTTCTCTATGCAAACCTCATTCATAGTGTTTTACCATTCTAATTTCAACTATTCCTCCATGCATTTCTCTGAGTCTTTTTTCAGATTGATGCTAATTATTTAATTAATTACGAAATTAGGGCTGGGTTAAAAGTTATTACCGATATACTGCTGCGAGTAACCATGGTCGGGCAAAGTCGCCAAACCGTTTGGCGACTTATAAGTTGCCATCCGGTCTAGCGACTTATAAGTCGCCAAACAGTTTGGCGACTTTGCCTTTCAAAAAAACAGGTCGCCCACCTTCTGCAAAACAGAACGGAAAACAGCAGCCCCAAGGCCCAAGCAAACTCCACCTCCGGCAATTCGAAGCTCCAAGTGCGACGACTCTCGTACGAAAGCTCCAACTCCAGCGACATCCCTCCACCTTGCTAAGTAAACTCCACCTCCATCTTCTTCAACACTCCTAGGTAAATTAATCTCCATTTCATCTCATATTTGATTTTAGGGTTTAGAATGTATAAAATCGAATTTTTAAATTTGGAATTGATATGTGAATTGAGTTGTTGTGAAATATGAATATGTATGAAATGTCGAATTTTAATGTTGACTTCGATGTAATATTTTGAATTTATTGTGTAATGTTTTGAATTGGTTAGGTGTGGTTTTGTTTGTATAAAGTCTGTATATTAATATAACTCATCAATTATCATCATATATTGTTATTAGAATATGGATTTCTCCAACTTCTCAATTTTTGTAGGCACTATGGAGCTGGCAGCGGATCCAGGACCGATTGATCCTTCTGTCCTTACATTGCAGGCCACACATAGGACTGAGGACGTGTGGCGTGGCGTGGATGTGCAGGTTGATAGGTGTCGAGAGCACCTCCATAGTTTGTCGCACGTGGAGGTGGACGATAGAGTTTTAGCTTATGTTAGAGCTCACGGTTTTTTTTTGAGTACACAGATTGGTGGGTACTGTCCCACTTGATAGAGCTCTAGTCACCGCTCTTCTTGAGCGTTGGAGGCAGGAGACTCACACATTTCACCTCCCAGTTGGTGAGGTGACAGTGATATTGGGAGATGTGGCTGTTTTGACTGGCTTACAAGTCCATGGGAGAGCGGTGACAGGTACAGCATGTCGGCCATGGGTTGAGGATGTGGAGCGATGGTTGGGTGTTCACCCCCTTCTCCGAACAGACATTCGTGGATCATCTCTGAGGATGTCATGGCTGAGGGAGCATTTTGTTGTTATTCCTCCAGAGGCAGATGGGGTGATGATTCAGCAGCATCCACGAGCATACATTTTGATGTTTATGGGAGCTTCCATTTTTGCAGACAAGAGTGGGAATGAGGTTCAGGTGTTGCCATTGCCGATGCTAGAGATATTTGATGTAGCTGGACATTTCAGTTGGGGTAGTGCCACTCTAGCGTATCTTTATAGGCAGCTCTGTCGAGGTTGTCAGAGTGAGAGCACGGAGGTTTTTTTTTTGCTTTTGTTACAGCTTTGTTCATGGGAGTACATTCACATTGGGCATCCCATTATATCACGATACCATGGCTAGATGGACTCCCACTTCATGACCAGCCTCCACATCTCCTTGGACCACGTCATCGACGGAGCGAGGACCCTCTGGGGCGTCGGTATGTTTTACAGGACTATATTTATGTTATTGTATGTTCTGAATAATTATATGAATTATATTTATATTAATATGTACTACATGAACGGTTAGATGGCTATTTGCTGATCTTTGTCGCACATCATCGACTACTGGACTCGGTTTCTATAGAGATGCATTTGATCGCATGTCGGATGACTAGGTTTGTTGCACATCATATAAATTACTTATCATATGAAAAATAGTAAGACTAATTTTATTTCCTTTTCAAACAGATTACATGGATGCCATATACAGCCCAGATGTTAGAGGAGTTGCCCCGACAGGACGAGCGCACTATGATATATGGCGAGCATGTGTCCCGTTGATCTTTTTTGACATTGTTGAGCTTCATTTTCCAGATCGTATACTGAGGCAATTTGGCTATGAGCAGGTCATTCTAGTACCTGTCGACACATGTGTAGATCTCCATAAGCTGGATAGGCGTGGGAAGCCTATAAAGGATTGATCGCTCAGACATGTTAGATACGTCACTGTGTGGGAGAGGCGAGCAGAACTTGTTGTGATTGGGACGCCTACATTCGTCCCATCTATCTGTGTAGGCTACATGAGATGGTATTACAACATCACACGGCTGTTTGTCTCTCCTTCTTTCAGACTCCCTACTCACCATTACCAGCCTAGTTCCATGACTTTATACTTGACGGTGAGTGTGCTACTAATTACAAAAGTATTTCATGTTCTTTATTTAAGATTTTATTTATTTCAAAATAATTATAATTCATGTTTCACATTTCAGACACGAGCATTGCAGCGTATACATGAGCGAGCGACTACCACAGTTAATGATACACATGACGTGGACATGTACGGCCAGGTTCTGACGGCCATCACTTCGTTGTGTTCAGATGTGTTGGGCCGAGTGGACTATGGACATCTTATACATATGACCCCCTCTCAGGATTATATGGCATCAACATCATCAGCAGCAGTGGTGGGTTCTACATCTCAGACTCAGCGAGACAGAGTTGTTCTTCAACCACGACAGCGGCGTAGGTGTATGCGTCAACAGCCACAACTCCATGACGAAGACGATCAAGAAGACCATGAAAACTTGTGGTCTCTCTATTATTGAACTTAATCATGTACACCAAATGTTGTAGAAACACTTCACTTTTTTACATATTTTTACCTTCAAACTAATGAATATTGTGTTATTAGTATTTTGTCATTTGTTTATGAAGTGTTGATGTGTTTGGTTATGCATATCGGATGTCTACACGCTGTTTTTATACTGTATTTTTGAGAATGTGGGTCGCTTTGTATCATTTCTACCAAATTGTGTTTTGTACATGTTCTGTAAGTCGTTAAACGGTGAATTGCATTTATCGGGATCCATTTAGGACAGTTTGGGTGTTAATGTTTTTGGGGAAGGGCAAAGTCGTCAAACCGTTTGGCGACTTTGCCCGACCATGGCCACTCCCTAGGGGTGGGATCGGTCCGGTCCGGGTCGGGTTTTTGCTAAACCCGGAAAGTACCCGTAAGGTATCGGGTTATGAAAATTAGGGACCGAAAAAAGCCCACTATATTTGGTCCGAGTCGGGTTTTTTGTATCCCGGGTTCGGTCCGGGTTCGGGTTGGGTCGGTTAGAGCCCGAATGTAAAATCACTCATTTTTCTTTTATATTTTAAAATCTATTTTCAAATAAAATTAATAAAAGTACAAACCGTAAATAAAATTAATAAAAAGCACAAATATTAGTCTTCAAAATCACCAAGAATTCAAATTCAAAGAAGACACTTATCATAATATTTTGTTTAAGATGCATAAAAATAAGTAATATAGGTGTTCTAAAAATGTTATGAAATAAAATCTATGGATAAAAATGTGACTAAAGTTACTATAAATATGTTTTAATGATCATTACGGTAAATAAATTGAACATATTTGTGGTCACTAAAAGTTATTAAGTCATTTTTTCGTCCATCATGATTATAACCATATATTAGGAATTAATTTATAAATTATATTAGTATATTATATTGATTTAATATTAATGCTAATTGTTTCGGGTTTTATCGGTCCGGACCGGGTTATAGATTTTAGGACCCGTTAAAGAGCCTGAAATTTCGGGTTTGGCCCGGTTTTTTTTATTCGGGCCGGTCAAAAAGAAAAAACCCAGACCGATATCATAATTCGGGCCGGACCAGGACCGGTTTCCGGGTTTCGGTTCGAGTTTTCCCGCCCCTACTACTCAGTCCTAATTTCGTAATTAATTAATTAATTAGCATTCCGTTGCAGCCCCAAAATATTTGCTCCTACCTCAAAGTGTGATTCGATTCTGAGAAGCTATTCTATGGTTGCAGCTCGGTTAATGGAGAATGACAAATGTCACATGTTTACTGCGGTCCCCACCCACCTCCTTCAATGCAACGCTCCCTGACCTCCCCTTCTTTTTCTCAGCTCAGCTCTACACTCTGTCGCTGCTGATATATGAATATCCCCAACACCTTTCCGACATTTCCTCCGATGGCCGGAAACTTATCGTCAGAGTTACATGAAGTCCGAGCCCCCGAGGTAGGCCGTCGTTTCAGTATATTCTTTGTGGCTACTACTTGGTCTTTACTCACTTCTCCCGGCCCGCCTGATACTTGCGACTTGCGAGTATTTGTCTTTCCAGTTTTCAAAAATTTATCCCAGAATCTGTATAACTTTATATTCCATAGTTCCAAAATTCGTAGTTGGGAGTATTAAATTTTCAAACACCCACTCCCCCCAAGAAGAAAGAATTTTATTTGGAATCATACTTTCATTTGAATCCACATGGTTCCAAACAGTAAACAGATTATAATACTCCGTACTATGAACAGATTGCAGAACGACCCAAAAAAATATGGGGTTGGTTGTCAGTTTTGTCACTCAACGAACATAAAAATATTCTAAAAAAGTACCACTTCGTATTATTATTATATACACTGAATCAGGAATACAGCATACCCCTTTTTTCTCGGCCAAGCATCTTCATGTTTGTCTTTGAAGCAAAGTCCTCTTTTTTCTTCATCTTTTGTTTTCTTAAACGTTGCCCAAATACGTGTATAATACAAAAGACTAGCCAAAAGCCTTCAATTCAAACGATTGCTAATGACTTTTATAAGTATCAACCCATTGGGTATGCGCGCTACTGTTTATTCTTTGCTCTTCATGATTTTCATAATACGGCCGAAGTAGTAATCTCTCCGCGATGATGGTTGTGTAGTCTTTTTCAGATTTGAGATGTCTGTCGCTTTCCCAGAATTTTTTAATTAAGGACCTTTGGGCTTATTATGTCCACTACACGTTTGAAGATCAGTTTTTTATGTTTCATTTTATATTTTTGAAATGGAGTAGATGCCTGCTACCAGCTGACTGTTACGCAGTTCTGCATTTAATGTTTCTTTTGTCCTTAATTCTTCTTTATATGTGTCGATTGACGATCTTGTAAATTCTTCTGCCCAACCAGGTCTGCAATAGCAAAGCTTCTGCTTGTACATGCTTTTTTTCTTCTTCTTATTTTTACAATTTTTATGAACTTCAAATCATCATCCTTTTAGCTAATAAACCAATCTTGTATCAGGCTCCTATTTCCAGAAACTGGAATTTCTCTAGGGTCTTTCTCTATAGGCCACGTCTGATAGTATGAAGCACTTTTCTTGTTGTAGTTTTGGCCACTTATGAGCCTGTTTGGTAGCCCGATTCAGTTTATTCCCGAATAGGCAAAATAAGTAACTTTTAACTTGTTTATTTTGTCGAATTGGGTTTTACACTTTTTCTTTTCTGAAAATTCAACAGATTCCAACAAACAATCCTTGCAGAACGGGCTCACAGTATTTCAGTCTTTCTTTTTTAAATTACCCGTGCTTTATGTGTTCTTCTTGTATTGTACATGAAGGTTGGTTATGCACCTAATGTCCCCCATGGGCTCATCAACATTAATTGTGCTGCAAGAATTTCAAAATGATTGTTGAGAGTATTAATTATCATTTTGAATTCTGCATTAAGTGTGATAGTTGAAAAAATCAGTGTATCTTCAAGGGTCTGGCAGCCTAAATATATAGTCCTTCGTGCCATATAGATGACATGTGCATGTGTCTGCTATATACACAGTAGGCTTATGTTGCTCAGATACTTATAATTCTCTTATGGCTGAAATATGTAGGACCAGAGAAGTTAAGCTTTTCTTGGTTTGCAGAGAACTTCAATTGATGTAAGTTTTCATCCTTTCAAAGAAACTTTTTCTTGATATCCCAAGAAATCATTAATAGTTCTGTTGCTTGCAAATTTTCATGTGATTTGCTACACAAATTGCCAAAAAAGAGTTGCAGATTTAAAAGAAAGTAAATTTATGACAGTTGCACCTTACTAAAAGCAAGAAGTACTTTGGCAATTTTTTTTCCTGACAGTCTTAATTTATCTTTTCCATCATTTTCAATGGAGCCAAAGATTCATTATTTTTTGGCTTGAGATTATGATGGAATAAAGCAAAATGGCTCACTAAACTGTCTGCGCTTCTTTGTTATGAAGCAGCAGTCGGTCCATGCAATTTTGGACGGGATTTTCACTATGGGTCATCCGGAAACAGTCTCTCTGTGCTTTAGTACAGGGGTAAGACTGTGTACATCCGACCCCCCCTTACCCCACCGTAGGTGGGAGCCTTTGCGGCACTGGGGTAAATGAAAATGAAATGATGACAGTCTTAATTTATCCTTCAATGGTCAAGAATTTCTTGAGTTTTTTAAACTTGTTTTAAAAAAACTGGGTATTTTCATTATATATTGATTAGAATGTTAATAACTTCCCCATAGTAAAGCTTTCTGTCAGCATACAATGAGTGTTCTTATCCACTGCTTCATGTGTTCTGCCCATTTTTAGTATGGTCACCGGGTAACAGATGAGGTTGAAAGTAGTGCTTGTTGGACTCATTAGCTTTGCTTGGATACAACTATCTCACTGGGGTAACTGTGTTGCCCTTGCTATTTATTCTTCCGTGGTTCATGTATGTTAACTAATGAAATTTTCTATTCTGAGCTGACCATGTAACTACTCTTAATTTATATGCATAATGTGAAGGGCTTTCAAATGCATCTGACACAAATAAGTGGACCTGCACATGTTTCACGAACTTGGGTATTGCTAATGTGGCTAACTGTTCATCATCATGCGAATGCGGTCCGGGTATTCTTCGGACACTGCTCTAAAGTAACGACTAATTGCCATAAGCGCATAAATTTAATGGTCAATATTTCTTTCTACTTATGCTTTCGAAATTGCCTATAAGGGAAGGCTTGTTCAAAGTTCTATTAAATCACTTATAAGGGAAGCCTGGTTGAGAGTTGTACTTGATTACTTGCAAGGGAAGACAGGCTACAGTTATTTTTTTGTTATTTCTATTCTTTAATAATAACTAATTTTGGAGTTTTATTTCAAGAATTTCATTTTTTTTTATATTACATCATTACAAGCAGGCTAAATGCAACATGCATTTAAAACTAGAAATAATTACATTTATATGATTGCGATAAATGTTGTTTACAAAAATGTGCCCTCCTAAGTGTAGTGACTATAATAGTAATTTAGTCATACATAGTAACTTATGTTCAATTTTTTACACTGAAGTATCTATAGTAATTATTAGTCATATGTTTGTAAATGAATTTCATTTCAGTATTATTTTAAAAAAAACTCTTCCAACTATTGGTGGGTTTGATGAAAATATGAAATTAAACAATTTTCAGAAAATAAAACTCAGGGATTACCTTTATATTTTCATAATAAGACGTCGAATTACTTTATCTGCAGATGGGTTGAGGCAAAGCAGGTGGACTTGTATATGTGCTTCTGATGGTTTACCCATTGTGGCTGCCGAACATAATAATAATACTGGCTGCTTTACTTCTTGCAATTGCAGTTTTGGTATTCCACTTTTATGATCTACCAAAGCATTTCCATATTTATGTACGGAACAAGTTACTTTTTCCTTGCTTATAATGTGTTTCTTTGTTTCTTAATAGGGACTCTGGTCAAACAACGCTATCCAAAGAAGTGGATCTCCAGAAAAGCAATATTTATTATTCTCTTAACTTGTTCAGCTGTAGCAAGTTTTGCATTTTTTGCATTGATGATGTGCTACATCTATCAAAGGGACAAATATTCTATTCAACGATCTCTTTTATCACCAGATAAAGAAACTAGTTTCAGTAGTGGTACTAACTTAATAAGCCAATACACTTCGTCAGAAGTTGAATCTAAAGTTTATGCAGCCACACCCGTAAATTTTGTTGCAGGTTAGAATTACTGGTTAAATTTAAAATATTGGAATGTTTATAAGTTAACTCTTAAGTTTCTATTGACTTCCTGCATCCCTTTATGATGTAGGGTGCATTCCGAAGCCATTGTCACTATTTAAAAGCAAAATGGGAGCATTGAACGGAATGATCACATACTTTTCATACTTTGATTTGGAAATTGCAACTGATAAGTTCTCCAATTTGAATTTGATCGGAGTTGGAGGGAGTAGTCAGGTATACCGTGGGCACCTGAAAGATGGAAGAACCGTTGCAGTTAAGAGAATTAAAACCCAAGGGGGCCCAGACACAGAATCTTCTTTCTTGAGAGAGGTAGCATTTTCCATCATTCATTATAAATTATGACCACCTGAATCTCAACTACTTTAGATCTGTAGCATTGGAAACTAGAACTTTGGATGAGATGAAAAGTAATTTATTCATACTTTTTCTGTTCACTTTTAGGTTTTCCTATAGGGTTTTCACGGAACCTAATAGTAAAAATTCGCATGGATAGTAAATAGTATAGAAAAAGTAGGAGAGAGCAGATGAACAAGTTGAAAAAAGAAGATGAAAAAGGTCAGGGTTCCTTGTAGAAATGAAGAAGTACGATAAATTACCAAAATGAAAAGTAGAACTGTAGAACAAGTAATAACAAACTTCTATAGAAAGAGCAAGTAAAAGTGAATTATTGTCTCAGAGGAAATCTATGCAAAAAAAGATTGCAAAGCTTGCACGACGCTGCTTATATATATAAACAACGCAGTTCTTTTCAATAATTTATTTAACTGACTTCCCGATTGCATTTTAAGCTGAAATTTTGTGGACATAATCTACACTTCATGAAGAGCATTCTCACAAAATTTTATCAAAATATTCCACCGGGAACCACCTCAAACGGAGAATTCCGCACGGCAGTTACAGTCAAGAGCTCCTGATATGAATTGCCCTCATATACCTGTATACTGATACCTCTTTATAGATACATACTCCCTCCGTCCCAATTTGTAAGATACTTTACGGTTGGGACGGAGTAAAGCAAATTGATCCCTGTCACCACTCAAATTAGTTTTAAAAAATAAAATTTACATATTCAGAAACTACATTAAAAGCGCTACAAAACCTGCAAAAAATAATTCAAATTTCATAAACTTTTGATATATAAAGTAAAAGATTAAGAGTGATATATGTTGACCAAGTAATAGTAAATGTATCGTACAATTTGGGACTGAGGGAGTACAAAGGTCCTACCATAAATACATGCAGAGTCCTATCATAATTACAAGGCTAATCAAATAAAATTATAAGATGTGATTAATTACAACTGACTTTTTGTTATTGGCGGATTGGCCCCAATATAACAGTTTAAGTGTGTATGCACAATAATAGGATAAATGTTGACCATTGCAACCTCACTTTTTTAATACATGGAACCTTGTTTTAACACTTGATTTGCATGGGATAAATTCATATCAGATCGAACTGATATCAAGACTTCATCATTGCCATGTGGTGCCATTGATCGGTTACTGCTTATTAGAAAACCGCGGAAAGCATCATGCACAAAGGCTGCTTGTATTTGAATACATGCCTAATGGCAACCTCAGAGATTTTCTGGATGGGACTTCTGGAAGATGTTTGGACTGGGGTACTCGTGTTGGAATCGCTCTTGGAGCTGCTAGGGGCCTGGAATATCTCCATGAAGCTGCTGCCCCAAAGATTCTTCACTGTGATGTGAAATCCACAAATGTTCTCCTCGATGAGAATTGGAGGGCCAAGGTATTATTGTTAGATATCTCAGCTACTATGTAATGAACGAAAAATAATAATGTAAGTCATCCTTTCAGATGCTGGATTGTCTTCTCATTAATATCTAGACTTCACAATCTAGGTCCATAAAAATGTAGGAAGAATACTATATTTCTTTCACAAGGCAGGGTAGTTTATGTATACAAGGAAGAAAGTATTATAATGTAAGTCAATAAAAAATGGTTAGGTTTACATTATTTAATAAAAAACTTGAAGCATAAAAGTACTAGAGCATGTAGTTGTGGCGTGCAAAACGCTTGCAAGTACTATTACATTAGTAGTATTAATCCATGTCACACAACTCAAATTCTTCACACGTACTACCTAAGAAGTATCATACAAAGATTACTTCGTGCGTAACACTTGCAAGTACTTACCTAAGTTGTTTTTAGCCATGTCACACAGCTCAAATACCACACAAGTACCACCTAAGAAGTAGTATACAAAGATTATTCCTTGTATACTTTTTAGGATGCAACCAAAACAATAATATGGATTTGAAGGCGATTAAATTCAATCAAACAATCGATGTTTATGGCTCAAAAAGAGCACAAATTTAAGATTGTGTACTCAAATTAGACACTTTTTTGTGAGGCATGTTAGACTATCCCACAATGAAATACACACGTAGAACCAACTAGTGCTCCTTTACACTGACTTTTAAGAGGGAATCTTATATCTTAAAGAGTAGAAATATACTTTATGGTTGCTAGATCAAGAATATGGCTTTACTTGAGTTCATATATGAAAGCATTTGCATATTATTGTTGGGAAAATGTAAATCAACTTTACTTGAGTTCATATAAATTTGGCTTTACCTAATCTTTTAACCCATGCCAGTTTTAGGTGTTTAACCTCCTTGCTCTGGGTGTGTACAGATTAGTGACTTTGGAATGGCTAAGCAGCTGCACAATGATGGTATGCCCAGTTGCTCTAGTTCCCCTACTAGAATGCAAGGGACCTTTGGATATTTTGCACCGGAATATGCCATAATTGGGAGAGCTTCTACCAAATCTGACGTATTTAGTTTTGGGGTTGTGCTTCTTGAACTCATTACTGGACGCCAGCCTATACAAAAGTCACTGAACAAAGGGGAGGAAAGCCTCGTGATATGGGTGGGCAGTACACCAAACCTCCTCATCATTTCTTTTTTACTTGCAAATATTTACATTGAAAATAATAAATCATATGGTCACCTTTTGAGTCATCCAAGTAATCCATGTGTCCTGTTTCCATACTGGTCAAATATAAAGATACATATCAACATACAAAGGTTTGAGAGCGATCTTTTAGGATGGAACCCTTAAAACTTAAATGATATCAGAGTTAAGCGGGGAACCCAAGTCTTAATAACAAAATTACAAAAACACTGCTGAAGTTCTTTTTACTGAAATGGTTGAAATGAAGGTAAATGAACCTTCTACTCTGACTTGTAGGCAACTCCTCGTCTGCAAAATAGTAAACTAGTGATATCAGAGTTGCCCGACCCGAATATAAAAGGGGATTTTGAGGAAGAGGAAATGCAGGTGATGGCTTACTTGGCAAAGGAGTGTCTGCTCCGAGACCCCGATTCTCGGCCAACCATGAGCGAGGTTGTTCATATTCTCTCAACCATAGCTCCACAGAAATCTAAGAGAAACAACTTTCTCGGACACAGCTTTAAGGTACATTTGTATGAGATTTCAACACTTCATATTTCAGCACAAATGCATTGTTGGTATTTAATTTGATATATTCTGTAGAGCTCATCGAGCCATGAAATTGAACAGCACGGAAGGAGATTTCTCAACCCAACTGGAGAAGAGGAAATTAAGCAAATTACTTGTGAGAATCATGATCACAATGTTGATATTGAGAAGGAAGAAGCTCATACTGCGGATGATGCAAAATGGGAAGAGAGAGTAATCATTTTCTCTTCAAAGGATGACAGATGGTATTCTGAAGATGATACCACGGTGGACTTGGCTGAGCCGCGGTTTGAATCATTCTATGTGCCCACTGTTGTATGAGGGTATATGCTTTGTAGTTTTTGTTGGAAATTTTGATCTCCAATGTGAATATCGGTCACACATCTTCTTAGACATTTCATATGAATACACTAAAAGAATCTAATAGACATAATTACTAGTGCGAGGTGGTTATGGATCCTGTTCAAACCGATGTATATCGGCTTTTGGTTTCGTTCGGACCCATTTTCACCCATGTATATATTTACAGTTCTCGTTTCAGTTCTCCTTTTAATATAGCCTCAACCTCAAATGCACCTGGCTGGTTTCAATTCTTGGCTCGGTTTCAGTTCTTATTTCCCACTTGAGCTACATGAGTAATATGTAAGCTTAAAATTCAGAAAGAGCGCGATGATGATTGTGTCATTAAATTTCTTAGAGGACTTGATGAGGAATTCTCTCAAGTTCGATCTCAGATAATACTTAAACTTCAGCTAACTAACTCTAATAGAAATTAACTAAGAGATATTACCCGAAATAGGACTAAAACAGTTTGAAAATTCCAAAATAGGACTGCCATGTTTTTATTCCCAAAATAGGACTAATTACTGCCATGTTTTGGCAGCACCAAACTTCAAACATGGCAGTATTTTCTAAACGTGACAGTAATTAGTTCTATTTTGGGAATAAAAAACACGGCAGTCCTATTTTGGAATTTTGAAACTGTTTTAGTCCTATTTCGGGAACTTTCCTATTAACTAATTGTAGTTATTATGTCTAATACACAAGCAATAAATAGTCTATATAATGATATACTGCGTATGATGCTACATCATTATATTTTTCACGAAGACAAGATTGAGTGTGGGTCATCCTTATATTTGTCAATCGCTGTTTTTAAGACAAGATTTAGTAAGATTAATTTCAAACAAGTGATACTAATACTAATCACTTGACATGGCGCCTTAAGATTTTTTTTTACTCCCTCCGTCCCATAATTTACTTCCGTAGTACAAATGACACACGAATTAAGAAAGTGGGTTTTGTGTGGTGGAAAATTGTGCAGAGGAGAGAGAAATGTGTAAGAAATGCTGTGAACCACAAATTTTTTGCCAAAAAAGGAAAGAAAAATTCTTTTTGGGACAGAATGAAAAGGGAAAGTTAAAAGTATTCTCAGGGACGGAGGAAGTAATATAAAAACCTTCTCGATCATTCACATACCTGTACAAGGATCATAATACGACCAAATATCACTCTTATAATTGATTAAAAGGAACATGTAATGATATTAAAACATACGATAGTATTTTTTTGAAAGATATTAAAACATTAATTGTCATGATAGTAGTCATAATAATAAAGAAAGTAATTACTTTGTTGAGACTATATTAAATTAGTTGTATATCTAAATAAAAAACAATAGAACTATCCTACGGAGTATAAAAAATCTAAAAAACACTTTATTGTACATAGAACATTGTGAGCATAATTTTCATTGTACTAAACTAAAGGGAGAAAGACTTGAATAGGACTAAAACAAGGCTTAAGAACGTAAATAAGACTCCCAACTTTTTAAACCCTAAATAGGACTCATTTTTTACGGAAGGACAAAAACACCCCTAAATTAAAATGAGGCTGCCTGCACATACGGAGCGTTCATTTACATCGTCCGTAATCAACAACATCCGCCGCCTCATGGATACCCAAGTCATCGTCGTCCTCTCAGTGTCCAAGGTTGTGGCTACAGCTCTGCTCCGCCGCTATAGTTGGAACGTCAACAGATTTCACGAGGAGTGGTTCGCCGACGAGGAGTAGAAAGTGCAAAAGGAGCTGGGTATGGGGTATCGTGCGGGCCCAGTGAGAGCTCGGTTTTATTTGGTACTGGAGAAATTATATTGAAATTACCTGCGCAAGTTTTCGCCAGAACAGTCAGCGGCACGAGTCCACCCAACCTCCTAGCGTCTTCTTCTTCTCCCTCTTTTTCTTCTTCTTCATCCGCTACCTCCCTTTAACGAGTATCTTTATGGTACGATGAATGTTGATAACTTTGTGGTCTTGATTCACTTTTTGTTTTTGTTTTACCTTTTCTCTTACTTTTCAATTTATTATTAATGAATTTAGTTTTTCTTTTTTAACTTTTTTACGCTCTGTACTACGTTTTACTCCGTATATCCTAAAGAGTAATACTGTTTACGGTGCACTCCAAAATCTTCATTTTTGTTCAAAAGTGGTTAGTCTGATATTCAAAGACTGGTTCATCTGGCGGCTTACATCCATCTGGATATGTTCTGAACGCATAGAGGCTGTGTGCTCTGTTTTTTATTATTTCTGGAGTATGAGGTTTTAGAGTTTTGGAAGAAGCAGAAGAAATTATTTTTAAAAAATAATGTCAATGCCATAAGAATGTCACCTCCAATGTCATAAGAATGTCAACGTCAATGTCATAAGAATGTCAATGACAATGTCATAAGAATGTCAATAAAAAACAATGTCAATGACAATGTCATAAGAATATCAATCCAATGTCATAAGAATGTCAATGACAATGTCATAAGAATGTCAATAAAAAACAATGTCAATGACAATGTCATAAGAATGTCAATCCAATGTCATAAGAATGTCAATGAAAATGTCATAAGAATGTCAATATAAAACAATGTCAATGACAATGTCATAAGAATGTCAATGACAATGTCATAAGAATGTCAATGATAACAAAATACATTTCTTATTTCTTTGCTTTCATGACAGAAGGATGGAAGGATTACAAGGAAATCATATTTTTCTTTTGAATTCAAGAGATGCCCCTTTCAATGGTCTAAATATTATCGTGCAGCTACTGTATTGTCCATTCCAAATTTGATGGGGTTAATCAAATACAAATCAAATGCAAATTTAGGGAATGTAAAAAACATAGAAAACGGATCTAGCATACAGAGAATAGAAGCATCAAAAGAAAATAAGGACACAAGCAGGATGAAATGTCATCGTATATAAACGATGACAATGTAATATAATGTTATTGTTTACAATTTTACAAGTTTACAATGTTACACTTTTTGTCAACCAAGAGAGAAGGTAATGAATGGCCTTCTCTGGATATGAATGAATTAAATATCAACCAACTTCAATGTAAATCTGTTTCATCCCCTTGTTAAACCACAACTCAAGCCTTCTGTATTAGATTTGATCTCAACAGAAAAGATAGAGACGCAACCATATACGGAGTATCTTGTAAAAGCCTGCATTTAAGTCTCTTTTAGCATTTGTGATAATTTGTGTTCCAGACTTCCAGCTGTCAAGCCATCCATTTCAGCCTCCTTTAGCAATTGATTAAAGTTAATCAAGAAATAATAATGAAAACGTAATTAACATATACGAGTACATTAAACAAACCAAAGCACTTACCGTACATTCATACCGTAAGAAATCAAAACGAAAAAGCTGAAACATAAGGAAGGAAGAAGAAGAAAGAAGAAGAAAAAGAGTAGGAGGAGGAGGAGGAGGAAGGAGAGGAGAATAGAATGCACCAAGGCCTCCTGCTGCACCGCCGGACCGCTTCACTGCCCAGCCGCTGGACTGCTGCACCGTCGGACCGTCGGACTGCCGGGACACTGCAACACCTCATCTTCTCTGTCTTGCCACAACTACAATGCCACTATAGCTCAACTCCTCCATTAATTTGTACAGTGTTGGACCTTGAAGGCTTGAAGCTGCCCTGCGTAGCTATGGATGAAGGAGAGAGAGGTTTTGGCGAGGTTGTTAGGAAGAGATAAGCTTTGGCGTGAGAGAAAAACGTAAGTGTAGTTAATAGGGGCAATTTTGGAAACTTCTTAAAATTAGGTCCTATTTAGGAGTAAAAAAAGTCAAGCTCTTATTTAATTACATACCATAAGTTAAGCTCCTATTTAGCACCATTTCTCTAAACTAAACACCTTCGTACTAATTAAATTTTTGAAAATAATGAAACAAACAAAAATAAAAATTTGCATACAAGCAACACTGTATTAAATGGATAAAAATGCATACAATGAAATAGATAAGTCACGCACACAATGACACAACAACTCTTAGGACACGTTTACTTCATGAGTTAGTAAATGGTGCTTATTAAGACTGACATTAATAAGCGGCGCATAAAATAAGCAGTGTTGTAAACTCATGTTTACTTCAAAGGATTTAAAACACCGTTTAACATTAAAATGTCCAAAATAACCCTATAGATATACACACACACAAACACTCATGAACACAAGTACTCCCTCTGTTCCCAAAAATACTTCTCACTTTCCTTTTTGGGCTGTTCCCAAAAATACTTCCCACTTTCCCATTTTGGACAATTTGTGTGGCTCACATTCATTTTACCTTTTTCTTACACAACTACAACCATACATTTCCACTTTATTCCACTTTCTTAATAAGCGTGCCAAGTCAAACCGGGAAGAATTTTTAGGAACGGAGGGAGTATATAATATAATATGTGGGGTCACCTTGTACGCTTAGTCGCTTACCCACACCCCTAACCCCTAACCCGCCCTGTACCCCCACCCCTACCCCCCAATTCCACACCCTTAAGACTTAACCCCCACCCCTTCCCTACCCCTACCTTACCACGACCTTACCCTCCACCCCTACTCCCACCCATACCCCCTAACCCCCACCATACTCATAGGGTTTGGGTCGAGGTAGGGGCAGGTGATATAGGGTAAAGGGGTAGGGGTCAGGGTATGGTAATGGGAGTGGTGTGGGGTCGGGGTGGGGTCGAAGTAGGGGCATGTGGTAGGGGTAAAAGGGTGGGGTCGAGGTAAGGGGTACAAGTGGGGGTAGGAGGTAGGGTTGTCTGGAGGTAGGGGTGGGTCGAGGTAGGGGTAGGGTCGGGGTAGGGAACGGGGTGGGGGTAAGGGTGGGGTTGGGGTTGGGTCAAGGTAGGGGAAGGTGGTAGGGGGTAAAAGGGGTAAGGGTGAGGGTGGGGTGGGGTAGGGCAGGTGTTGGAGGGGTAGGGTAAGGGGGTATGGGATGGGGTGGTATGGTAGGGGGTTGGGTAAGGTGGTGGGGGGTCGGGATTGGGTAGGAATGTGGGGTAGGGGTGGGGTCGGGATTGGGGTGGGGTCGAAGTAGGGGCAGATGATAAGCGGTAAAAGGCTAGGGTCAGGGTAGGATAAAGGTAAGGAGTACTAATGGGGGTGGGGGTGGTCGGGTCATCGGGGGGTCAGGGTGGGGTCGGGGTCGGGTTGGGGTTGGGGTCGGGTAAGGTAGGGTAGGGCGTGGTAGTGGGGTAGCAATAGGGTAAGGGCAAGGGGTAAAAGTAAGGGTA